ATAATTATTTTCAATCCTCATTGCGTTATAATTAAGAGGAATATTTTATTCGCATTGAATCTAATTGTAAATACTAAATACTATTACTATTTGCTCATAATTTACATGTTATATTATATATTATATTAATTTATAGAAATATTTCATTTCTCCATTGTTTCAACTATATATCTCAAATTTTCTTGAGAATTTTTCACTCCTTACTATTTACAACACCTCAGTTGCAGTCGTAAGTTCAGAATAAGTTGGTCGACGAGACAATGGCGAGTGCACTTATGCTCTCAGCTCGAATGTGCGCCAACGCCGACGAGTCCATTGCCAAGATTAATTTGACAATAATTGCTTCCTACGAGGTGGAAACAGAGGAAACCAGGGAATATTCTTACTTTATATCTTATTGCAAAAGCTAGTTGCCTATCGCGGGAAATTATAGCTTGCGCGAGCCTATAAAATATACCCAGAACGCGATTATCGATTTTTATCTGTTCTATAAAAACTGTAATTTAACGAGTTTTTTTCTTAAGCGACTTTCGCTGCATCCAACGCTAGATAAATTTCCTTTTCCTGGATAAATACATGAGAACCAAGGAATTATTTCAAATTAATATATTTCAATTGTGCTATGTAACTGAAGAAAATATTTAACATTTACAATAAAAAAGATTTATAAAGACAACATATGTATTATACAAAACTTTTTAAAGTATCATTATTAAATATATAATACATTTATTAAAAATATTAAATTATTATACAATTATTAAAAATATTAGAACAGATTTAGAAATTGAAAAAGAAAGGGGTATTTGTAATTAAAAATTTGTAAAGATTTGTAATTAAAATAAAAATTAAAAAAAAATTTAACTTAAAATTAATTTGATTTAACAAAAATTTAAAAAAAAAATGATAAAAAATATTTATATATATCTTTTATAATTTGGCATATATACACATATTACAATATTTAATATATTAAAATTATATATTAAATATATATTCAATATATGTATATATATAATTAACCATTTAAATATTTTTTTAAATTAATATAATAAATATTAGAGTTAATATTTTATAAATCCCATATCTATAATCAATTCTAATTTATTATAATGCTAATAATATTTTAAAAAAATATCATTATATATGAACATATATTATATTCCTAAAATTTTCTATGAAATTTTTCAAACATTGTGGCAAATAACTATATATTAATTCAAAAAATAAAAACATTTAAAGAAAAAGACAATAAAATGAATGAAAATAACTAGTTGTTTTCGATCGCTTTGTATCACTAATATCAACTCGACAGTCTAGGTACTTTGCGATAACCTCGCCAACGGAATCTAGTCTTGAACGCATAACCAGTTCTTTGGTTAATTAATGCTGCAAAACTGGTAGTCTTGCGCTTTCAGACTCTACCGGGTATTTATCTCGTTCATTGCACCACCCTAGTTTTAATGTTTTCATATTATTAAATATATATAATTTTTAATATTTTTGTTCGATCGCACGTTTCACTAGTATAGCAATATATGATAACAGTGCCTCAATAATATCAGATATATTTTGTTTCGATAATTGGATTCACAATTATCCATTTCTTGAAAATTTTTTCAACTTTACTTGATTCTTTGTATTTACAATGAACGTTGGAATTTTTTTCATTTCTCTCAGATTTATTTTTTCTCATTCTTGCTAAAATATATAATAAATAAATAAAATAATAAATAAAATAAATATATAATAAATAAATAAGCGAATTAAACATGTGATAACGCCAGATAATTCTCAGAATAATAGAACACCTGCCTCTCTCGTTAATAGATGCGATGCGATCCCAATATGCGTCTGCTACCGAAGCTGCTACTCATGTACATTCTCCTTCATAAGTTTGGATACACGCCATTTTTAATGATTGATATATAATTATTATGATGTTCAAATTTTATTATGAATATGTAGTTTCTATTATAATATATATGTATTATATATTATAAATTGAATAATTTAATTGTTTAAACTTTATAAATAATTGAAAGTACATTAAGTTCTATAATCCTGCAATGCAATATGGGATTCCTTGGATAGACAAATCCGAAAATAACATCTGAAATAAGGAAAAGATTTATGAATAACAAAACTTTTAGAAGCATGGACAATATATGGAAAAATATATAAATATAAAATATTAAGATTAAAAGTAAGTAGTAAATTAGCGCAAAGTAAAATTTATTTATATAAAATTTAGTGAAATTAATTAATAATTTCATGTTTTTTTTCTAGATAATTATTACAATTAAAGAAGTATCCACATATTTATGGATGGGAATGTACTTCGCATTGACTGCTAAAAAAAAATTTTCTTGAATTAGCTGATCCACTTTCGATTATAGAATAAATAAAAATAGATTATGGATATATGGATTTATGTTTCTGTTAATAAATAACCGTTCTTTATTAATTATTCATCAACTGTAGCAAGCTTTGTATATGTATATGTATTACTTGAATAATATAATCATTCCACGATGAATATCTCGATATCATAAACACAAAAGAGATCGCAAGGAATTGGAGGACATTCTCGATATTCTGGAATTTTATTGGAATTTATACTTTTAGAATCGGAAGGCGAATAAGGCAATTCTTTTATATTTCTTTAACTTGTCGAAATCGCGATAAATTGCGAAAGTGAAAATGTGAATATTCGTGGTGAATGCCGACATTTGATGGGGCTTAATTAAAATACAAGGAGAAGAAAAGATGCAGATACGTGACAAGGGAGAAAGTTCATTCACCAGAAATTGAACGTGGAACAGTGGTGCGCAATTGTAAAGTTCAGCCACTTCGTGTCGAATTCTTGTCGACTTTCGCAATTTTCATCTACGTGGCAGGATTTTCATTATGAAATAATTGAGAATTCCGTTCGTTTCATTTTCACGATCAGTAACAAGTGGCACAGCATGATGGATATGGCAAAGCTTTGAATACATTACAAGCGAAATCCAAACTAAAAAAAATTCTAGCAGCGATAATATATCTCGCCATTATTTCATATTGTAGATAAAATTTCATTTTAATTACGTTAAAATAGATAAAAGCATATATTAATCAAAGGATTTTCAATGTAAATATTATAAATTCAATCTATGATTGAATTCTTATTATGAACTAATTTTTTAGTAATTTAATTTATACTACAGTTTAAAATAAAATTGTATTTATTACATGATGCATGAATTATATTATAATGATTCACACAAATATTTGAACACTTTTATAGAAAAAATTTATATATATATACGATATTACATATTACACAAAACTTTCTAAAATGTTTTTAATATTATATATACATTTAACTATCAAAATTTAAGTTTAGATAAAGTTTGAAACAAATCTGAAAATAAACAATTATAAAATATTTATTATGATTATATATTCTAATATAGTTAAAAAAATACAATTATTATCATATTAATAAGTTTAACATTTAGTAAGGTCTTTATTTTTTATACATATTTTCTAAACTTTTTTTAATTAATATTTTATCTATCTTGATAATCATATTTATAAAATGGTACATTAAAAAATATTGTATAATATATAGAATATGTTCAATAATACATTAAAAAGTTTTGTATAATATAGAATATAGATATTTTGTATAATAGAATATATTTATATATGTTTTTTATGAAAGTATTCAAATATTTTAAGTAAGTTAATATATGTTATCACAGGTTAAATATGGTGGTCGCTTTTATGCGTTTCTATCTATGATGTCTACATTAAATTTAAAATATTTTTTGTGTTTATACAAATTCTTACAAATATTGACATGATTCAAATATTATTTCAAAATCAATAAACTTTTTGAACTTTGAATGGAATCGTTATCTATTCTAAATTCGTCAATAACAAATACGAACGATATTCCTTGTTAGGTTAAGTAAGCACGTGTCACTGACGTAATTCGATCGAATTGGAAGTAAATATTCTTCGTTATACATAGATATCTCCACGCGAATTGCAATAACAAAAATTTAATGATTAATCATTCCCTCATAAATTGGATCGACTAAAAACAGAAATATCTAATACATGTAAATTATTTCTTCAATATTTATCATGAACAAAAATTCTTTTTCACTTGTCTCTTCTTTACTTTTTCCTTTTTGATTCTTGATAAAAGATTTTATTAAGTATCATCTGTGCGATTAATTATTGTATCAATCGTCCTGATTCTATTATAATTATTAATGTTTTTTGACAAACCTAATGAAAAATTTATTTATAAAATATGTTTTGAAGTAAATCAAATTAAGTAAAAATTAAGAACAAACAAAATATAGGAATCTTCCAGCGACAGATTCTAAATCATTAAAAAATAATTAATTATTAATTTATTAAAATTTTTAATTATTAATTTATCAATTTTTAAAAATGTATTTTCTTTTTTTATATCTTTTTCGTTTTCTTTTTATTTTAACACATCAATTAACCATAATTAACAATAGTTAATGGTATAATAACATACGATTTTAAGAGAAAATTTTATGTAAAATAACAAGTCATAAATGACTCACAACTAACCACTTCATGTTGTTAGTAATCAGTCAACCATTTGAGGGTTAAACAAGAAATAAAGCAGTATATATAATAAAACTCATTTGCAGTGCTTGAGACTTTTTATGACTATCATTTATTTCTTTCTATGTCCAATTTTCTTGCTATTTCAAAAACCAAAATAAAAATAATTAATTTATTTTTTGCAACAAAAATAAGATTTTTATAATATATATAGTTATAAAACGTTAGAAAAGAATTAATATAGAATAAATAGAATAAAAACAAATGATGATTAATTTATTAAATTAAAATATATTTTATTATAATAAATTCAGCATAATTCATATTTTCCATTATCCAATAGAAATTCTTTCCGAAAAGTTTAAGGATAGTAAGTACGACATATGAAAGCATTTAACGTTTCGACAAAGGATACGAAAATAAACTAAGCGATATTACTTTTCAAGAAGGAATTACACAAAACACATAATTTAAAGAAAGAAACTGTTTATAACTAACTATGCAAAAATTCACTTAATAACGTTCTAAATTTGTATTGTAAGAATCCAATAACGTAATATAAGATAACGAAGGAAATATATATTAAATCACTCACTGTAAAGCCAGAGGATCACGTTGACACAGTCAGATACGGAAAATCTTATCCACGAAAGAAAGACAAAATATCAGAATGGAATCACGCCGCGAATCGCGCACAGCCCCAAAGAAAAATGTTCGAAGCACGAGCGTAAACATCGAACTGAAGCTGCCAGGCAAGCTGCACTGCAACACCACGCTAGACCCGACCTTAATAAGCTGCTTTCACACCAAACTCGCGCTTTTTCAACCAACACTAATCTCTGTGTTTCAATCTTCAAATCTTATGATCATCTTTCATTATGTTCATGTGAATACAAATACGCGAATACGCTTCTCATTCTTACAATTTTCAACAATTTTCTGTACTTTGTTCGAGAGATGATTGCGAAAAAAATTGAAGATTTGAGATTTTAATTATTTTTTACAATAGATATATTGATATATCATTTTCTGAAAGTAAGTATTGATCAAATTTTAATTGACTTTATTAACGAACATCATTTATTTGATTTTATTTCGTAATTAGTATAAATAACAAAAAACATCGATTAAATATTTATCAACTCATTATTCGTTTTGAATTCTTATAATTATTTTTTTATCTTTGTTTTTGAATTCTTATAATTATATAACCTCGAAATAGCAGATTCTTCATCAATATTTTAATATAGCCGGTCAATGCTCCCTGGCATTCAAGTGTTGCAAGTATATTTGGAACTAATTTTCTTCTTCTACTTCCGTCATACTAGCATTACACGAGTTAGTCATAGCATCACTTTTACCAACTACTTCCCTTGAATATCAAGGGATTAAATCAAATTCTTTGAAAAAAGATTAATTCAAAAAGAAATAAAAATTCTATGATAAATAATGGAACGTTTATTGCAAAAAAAATTGGAAAGGTAAAATTATGTAAAATTGCTAGTGCGAAAAATAGCATAGTTGGATTCGGTGTGAATAGAACTTAAATTGAATTCCGCACAAAGAAAGGCATTCGATGGAAAAGAACCTGCAACGGACTTCGGGCCCGCATCTTCCAGGTCCGAACCTAATTCATCTTAGGGCCCTGCGATCGCATGATTGCACTAGATTTCTCGATAAATACAGTTCTTCGAGGAATTTCTTATGAAAATTGCGTTCTTTAATTTTAGAAAATGCATTATCATCGATAAAAATTTAATCACGATAGAAGGATGTTTTTCATTCTTGATTTTCTAGTCGATAAATGACCAAGCATAGAAGTGTAATGTGCAAACAAACGTACGATTTAATTTTTCCTGAAACGTTTTCATCTTAGGACGATTCACATTTTCAGAGACAACTTTAATGACCGTTCGAAAAACCATATGATAATAAATTGTCGCAGAATTATGTACTTATGATCAAACGTAAAATAACTCTCTTTTTTTGATTAATGATATATATTCGTCATTATGAGAAATCTCGTGATTAATTTCAAATACTTTCCATCAAGCTTGCGTATGTTTAAGATGAAATTCTATTTTAGAATTAGCATAATGGTTAACATTTTATTATGACAAATTCAAATTTTAAATTGAAATATAAAATAATTTTATAAAATCATAAAAATTAAAAGTAAATAAAGTATTACGTAAATCATAAACAAACAATGTCTTAAATTTATGATTACGTACCATATTTTATGTCTCGTATAATTCACTTAATTATATCTTTGACAATTATTAACTTGCAAGTCATTGCAAACACATGCATTATAGAATTTATTGCAATCAATTTGTCCATTATATGTACTATAAATACGGATCATGTACATAAATATGGATTATGTACATAAATATACAAAAGAGTGGATTTAAAAAATGGATTTATTCGCTCGAGCAAAAATTATGTGTGATTTTCAATTAATATCTATATTATAAATCAGTTATAATAAATAAAATCAATTTTTAATCGAATAATGTGTTTGTAATTTTTAATATTATCGATATTGTATGTAATTTCGATTTAATATCAAAACGGTAATAGTATTATATATAATATAATATATTTCAAAAATATTTAATATATTTTAAACCTAGTTATTTAAAATTGATTGTCAATATATTGTACATTATTTCTAAATGTATATATTTTCTATATAAATAATAATTTCTTAATAGAAATAATAATATTTATTATATTGAACATATGTATGAAATTATATTGAAAACATAAAAACACTTAAACTAACACACAAAAATTCAAGAAAGAAATAATTCAGAAAAGTATAACATACCTCATTATCGTGATGACTGTTAGAAGGCACTTTATCGGAGAGCTCCTTGATGAAGTTCTCCGAGTTTGTCTCATTTGGAAAATCCGGTTGTTCACTCGTCTTAGGTATCTTGAAACAGCTATTTGAATCTTGAATAGAATCAGATGAAGTACTTTCCTGTGTGATTAGATTTGCTTTCTCTTTCTTCTGATTCTGCTGATCCTTCTCGTGATATTCAGATTCACTGAAGCACTTTTCAAAACTGGATACTCGTTGAAGGATCGTTGGCGAATTAGAAATCGTTTCACAATATTCGAGTTCGTTTTTCAAATTATCATTACTTTTATTGCATATTCGTGGAGGATCTTGATCGCGAAATGTTCTGCGTTGGCCTTTTATTATTTCACACATTTTTTTTTTCTTATTTTAATGTAAATCAATTAAATTGTTTACATTTTCTTGAACATATTATAAAATTACTAGTCTCGAAAACCTTGAATATTATGTATCAGCATTATTATTTTTTTTCATGCATTAAATATTTCTATAAATTACAATTATATCATTAGAATATTATTGTAAAATTCTTGTAATAACTTTATCAAATATTAAACAATTTAGATTCAGTCATACTTGAATTCATTAATAATAATTAAATTATTAATTAATTAAATTATATTTGTTCAATAATACATGTATGTGGAATTTAAGTAAAAGAAAAATCTTAATAAAACAAATTTCGTAATATCATTCCGTATTAAATTAAGAAAATGCCATTTATTTTATTAAAATGAAAAATACTAACCGGTTTTCAATAAATGTTTCTTCTAGGGTTAACTTTGCTTCTTGACGTATAATACTTCCACGAGCCAAAGAGACGCAAACAGTACTATCTCGCCAAGGGCCAAACGACTCATGCGTCATACGGAAGGACATCTGTTGCCCTTTTCCCTCGACCCCTAATGTTCTTTTCGTTTCTCTCTTTAGCTATTGGTTTATATCTCTTTTTTTTTGTTTTTTCGATTTTATTCTTTTTGACAAGAAATAAAAATTGTTCTTACATTTTTAATTAAAAATAAATATTCTGTAAATTTTATAAAATTGATTTATTAAATTAATTTCAATGTTGGAACAAAAATTTGAAGTATCGACTATAGTTAAAATTTCAATCCATAAATCGATGAATGTTAAGTTTCAGAGAAACATTTTTTTACATGGCCGCAAGATGGCATAAATTCTTTACATTTTATCTAGCTATATTTAAAAATTCACAAAGATGAATTGCAATAAAAAAAAAAAGATTTAATAGAAATTTGATATCTTTGATATTTCTTTTATCTAATAATTCAAAATAATATTTTTACATAAAGAAATAATACTGGTAAATTATTATTATATATACAATTTAATGAAATATAAATATACGAATCTATCGAAATAATTAAATTGAATATAAAATTAAAAATATTTTATTCATATATTTAAGTACTTGATTAGATTATAGATATAGATTACAATTATAAATTTTCAATTTAAATTTCTTATTATTATAATTTTAAATTAATTCTTCGTTTTCTAATGTTAAAAACTATTATAGATATAATAGTATAATAGAAAACCATAGACGAAACATTAGATAGACATGAAATGCAATTCATTTCTATATTTCTTATAATATTATTGATTAAAAATAGAATAATATTATTATATTATTCGTTGTTAGCATTAAATCTTAATATTAAAATCTGTGATTATATGTATATTATAATTATTTTGATAATTTAAAAATATTTATATTGTATATCATAGAAATAAATCAACAAAAATTGCATTTCATTTTATCAAATTTTAAATTAAATTTTAATTGCACAAATAGAAAAACAATATAGTTAAGAATTAATCTTATTCTATTTATCTTAAAACATCTTAACACAATCTTAAAACAATTTTATTTAAAATTTTTATTTATTTGACATGAGTTCATAGCAATAAATAAAGTTATATCCTGAATTTACAGATCTTATATGTATACCTTCATAAGATCATATAGAAACTTACAATTATTATCATTATTGATATAGAATAAGTTATTATAAACGATTATAATATAATAATTTTTATTGTAAATTTATATTTTTTTAAATTTATTATAACTAATAATTTATATATTTTTATAAAAATTATTATATAATATATTTAAAATAATTAATTATGAATTATTTTTTTTGATAATATATATATTTTTTTAACGTAATGAAAAAAATTATTAATTTTATAAATTTTAATTATTTGTTTAGAATAATTGATATATAATTGATCGCAAGTAATTTTTTTAATTTTAAGTTTCCATTTACGAGGCACGAAATCTTATAAAATATTAAGTCTATGCTATATCTTGTTTAGATCCAAATCGAATCAATGAAAAAAAAGTTATTTTATTTTGTTGCATAATAGATCACTAGCGCCATCAAGCAGCTACTTTTGAAACACATAGCCAATATATCGAATTATCAAAGCTCAAGCGAGTTGGATGATATTGAAGTAACCGGTAGTGTTCATTTTTCACTGCCGTGGACTCGTTTTCTTTTTGACCCCCTTTATATTAGATAGTAAAGTATATTATAAAGAATGATGCAAGCTACTTTTTGGAGTTTAGTGACTACTTCTGGGAAAGTAAGTTAAAAAAGAAAATTATTCATTATCCAGTGACATTCATACATCACAATCTTCACTATCGAACCATACATACTTAATCTATTTCGTAACATCTTGAAGGACAAATGATTTTCTTGTATATTTCATTTAATTATTGACTTAACTATCTTTGCTATCAGTTTTTTTTAGATATAAATTATTAATCAGATATTTGAAAAAGCAAAATTAATTTCTTAAATTCATTATTCAACGTAAAAGTGCATTTTTTTTTACCTGTTGGTTATGTCATCTATATTTGATTTTTTCAAAATTAAAAAGATGCAAAGATAAATAAAGTTAAAAAAATACTTTTTTAATTAACATTTTTCTTTTTCTAATTTTACCAGCCATCATGTGTCAAACGTATTGTACCTGGATTGATAGCTGCACAACAACGTAGATATACTAGTAATTTAGAAGCTGATCTTGTAGTAATAGGTGGTGGGCCTGGTGGATATGTTGCATCAATTAAAGCAGCACAATTGGGAATGAAGACAATTTGCATAGAAAAAGATGAAACTTTAGGTGGAACTTGTCTTAATGTTGGATGCATTCCATCAAAATCTTTGTTAAACAATTCACATTATTATCATATGACACATGGAGATTTACAAAATCGTGGCATTATAAGTATTTAATTTATTTATAATTTCTTCTTTTTTAAATTAAAAATTTAATATCATAATTTAACTATCATTTCTTTTTTCTTGCAGTTGAAAGTGTTAAGCTTAATCTTGATAAAGTGATGGAACAAAAACGGAATGTAATAAAAGCTTTAACAGGTGGTATTGCTGGCTTATTTAAAAAGAATAAAATAGAGTGGGTAAAAGGTCATGGAAAAATTACTGGTCCAAATCAAGTAGTTGCACTTAGTCCAGATGGTTCAGTAGTAAGCACAATTAATACTAAAAATATTATAATTGCCACTGGCAGTGAAGTTACACCATTTCCGGGTATAGAATTTGATGAAAAACAAATTCTTTCATCTACCGGAGCTTTATCATTAGATAATATACCTAAAAAATTTATAGTAATTGGTGCTGGTGTCATTGGATTGGAATTAGGCTCAGTTTGGCAGAGGTATTTTTCTTATCGAAATTAAATATATGGAATGTAAATGATCTTTAATTGCTTTAATTATTAATTACTAGGTTTGGTTCACAAGTAACAGCAATTGAATATTCACCAACTATTGGTGGATTAGCTATCGACCATGAAGTTAGTCAAACATTACAAAAAATTTTAAGTAAACAAGGCTTAAACTTTAAATTGGGAACAAAAGTTACTGGTGCAAAAAAAACAGGCAATGAAATTATTGTTTCTGTTGAAGATGCAAAAGATCCTAGCAAGAAAGAGGATATTTCTTGCAATGTGCTTTTAATTTGTATTGGCAGGAGGCCATATACATGGAATTTAGGATTAGAAGATATAGGAATTGAAAGAGACAAATTAGGTCGAGTTCCTGTAAATAACAGATTCCAAACAGTAATACCTAAGTAAGTATATGTTGTTTTTTTTTTCTTATATATTTTTTTTATTTTTTTAATTCGTATAATATTATGTGTAAAATTACTTTTATATAGTATTTATGCTATTGGAGATTGTATCCATGGACCAATGTTGGCTCATAAAGCTGAAGAAGAGGGTATTATTACAGTTGAAGGCATTGCCGGAGGTAATAAGATATATATATATATATATATATTGTATATTGCTAATAAGTTGATATACGGAAAAATATAGAATCTAAGATAAGCCAACTTAAACAAGCATATAGTCGAACATATAATCGAGTCATATGCATTCTTATAATTAGCTAAATTTATCATATCTATTAACATAACTATCATCGAGCATATATCAATATATGTTACGTTTAGTAAGGCAAATGGCTTACCACCCGCACGTCTTTCCAGATACCAACTTACTAGCAGTGCATCATACTTTTATATACTGAAAAATTTATAAAAATTATACATTTGTACAGGTGCCATTCATATCGATTACAATTGTGTACCTAATGTAATATATACACATCCAGAAGTTGGTTGGGTTGGCAAAACAGAGGAAGATTTAAAAAAAGAAGGTGTTGCGTATAAAGTTGGGAAATTCCCACATTTAGCAAATTCCAGAGCAAAAACGAATCTCGAAACGGATGGTTTTGTTAAAGTATTAGCAGATAAAAATACAGACAGATTATTGGGAGTACATATGATTGGTTCAGTTGCTGGTGAATTGATTAATGAAGCAGTTCTTGCAATAGAATATGGAGCAAGTGCAGAAGATGTTGCAAGGACATGTCATGCACATCCAGTAAGTATTACAACGATATATAATCAAATATTAAATATAATATTGAATATTGATTTTATCATTTACAGACATGTTCGGAAGCCTTTAAAGAAGCCTGTTTAGCCGCATATTTTGGAAAACCTATCAATTTTTAAATCAATAAATCAATAAACAAAGCATTAATAATATAATTCATCGTAGCTTCGATCTAGTCTACACTCAATTTGAAACGCGCTGTATACATTTGGTCTACATCAGGTCTTTGTCATCATTTATTTTACTTTATATAAGAACAAAAACTGTACATAAAACTTTAAGAGAATTTATGAAATTTATATTTTATAGTAGATTTACTTTTGTTTCTTGATAATTGTATTTATTTTAAATAAATGGATAATATACTACAAAAAGTAGGAATATAAAAGAGTTGTTTTTAATTTTATATATTGCAGTAATAAGTGCGTAGAGATAAATT